AATAGAAAAAGAAACTAAAAAATGCTTAACTTTACTGATAATAAAAGATGTGCCAAGAAGACTAGGTGGTACCTGCTTCACCTGTAAGATGGAAAAGGAAGAGCACTTCTTAGAAAAGTACAAGTTTGACAAGGGTTTGGGGAAATTGCAAGGTGTCATTCTTAGTTAGAGTACAAATTAATGCAACTCTGTATCAAAATTTTAAATGCACATAATTTTGATCCAGCAATTTCTCATTTGGGAATTTATGTTATAGATTTATTTAATGATGTCAAAAATAACATGTGTACTACAATATATGTTTCAACATTGTTGTATGGCAAAACATTGTAAAGTGTCTCTGTGTTGGGTACTGGTTACATAAATCATGGGCTATACTTACAAAGGAAAACTCTACAGTCACTAAAATGAAAGGGTATGCTGTATTTATACTAACATGAGAAAATATTCCAGATTTATCATCAATGAAAAAAAGGTACAGTTACTACCACAGAATTTAGAAAATAACGAATATATATATTTAGATAATTATTTTCTAACTCAGGAAGCATACACGATAAACAAATAACCATGGTTTTTACAACTGGGATGAACATGGGTAGTTAAGGGGAGATGTAGGAGGATAACTAATTCTACATCATATATTCTCTTCTGTGTCCTTTAAGTTTTGTATGAAATGTACTTATTACACATGCAAAAATAAATACAATTATTCAAGTTAAAAATGAAATAATTGATGAAGTGTGAAAGTTCTTGGATGAGAAGCAAACGGATAATGCTATGAGAAATGGCATAAATCAGCTCAACAGGAAGGGTGTGAGCACTACAGCAGGAAACTGGAAAGCACGAGATAGACACGCATCCAGATCTTGTTTTCATTGTGGCCCTTCAATAAGGCCTTAACATTCTGCTCCCTATTTCTTTTCAGTATAAAGTCCCCTGGGATGCTGGCTGGCATGGCCTCGAAAATTGAGTCTTACATTTATAAAAGTGATGAATTAAAAGGAACATTTTTATTCAGGGTCATCTCAACTTTTCTAGAAGTTTTGTTCCAGCTGACTATTGCTTAAGACTCCACGGTGGCTAAAATGAACTCTTTCTNATCTTAATTTTATTTGCCATAGGCACTTTTATTAAGGGTCCCCCTTTCAGTCTTAGTTCATGTTGAGGACACTCAGCTGCATCATACTTTACAAGTACAAGCAAAAAAAAATGATGTTCCTATATCTTCAAACACACAAATCCTCTTTGAAACAACTAATGAAGAATTCCAAACTCTGTTCATAGTACACACAAGTCGTTACTGGGAGGACATTTTTTTAATGCACACATTTTCATCCATAGCAACCCATGTTCTTGAGGACACTCTTCTGCCACAATTCAATTTGTCATTGCCCAGGGTTNGACTCGTGGATCTTTGCCCTGGCTGTGCTTCTGAGCAGCACGTTTGTCTACAACAGCATGAGCACCATCAACCACCAGGCCCTGAAGCAGCTGCAGTATCCTTCCAGAAACCGAACACCATGCTTCATGAGTTCATGGACTGGCAGGTATACTACTTCTTTTCTGTGACTCAATTAACACGGGGGAGGAGGAGGGGACCCAGGGCAAAGGGGCTGTTTATAAAATTTGTTTCTAATTGAGATCTGTAAATTGTGGTGGACAGCACTTCTCCTTCCTTAGCTAAGATCCCAGCTACGTGACTGAACTAACAGGATTAATCAGGGCAAAGTCCTCTCCCAGACCTGCTGACGTAGAGGACTCCACTGAATTTGTGAGTTTTTTTCCAGACTTCGTTTGGACTGTACGAGATTTCGTATTGGAGCTGGTGTTAGATGGACATCCCATTACTGAAGATGAGTACCTGGAGAATGCTTTGAAGCTGATTCCAGGTATTAGAATGTGATTTCTTGAAGCTGATTCCAGGTATCAGAATGTGATTTGGGGGTGAAAGTTTCATTAGGAGGGTGGAATCAGCTAAACCCTGATATTCATCACTTGATATCAAGTTTTATTTGGATTGAGGCCCATGCTAATGGTGATTGGTGATTGATGGGTGGCCATGATTTTAGTGATAATTATGAATTAAAAGTCTTTAAAGTCTGAGATTTAAACTCCCTGAGGAAATTTATGGCACAATATTAACCAGATAATTGTAGACTAATTAGTACCAGGAAAAAAAATTCTAGATTACAATCAGTACTATAACTTCCTAAGGGCCACATCTTTGTGGTATTTATTAAGTGTGTCTCTTGTTCTATTTCAAGAAACATAGCCCATTAGATTGGAAGGTGGTAAATAGAGAATCATGTAGAAATTAATTTACCTGATTTTTAAAACATATTTTACACAGCATATTGTACTAATGCCTGGATAGTTATATCATTCAGGTAAAGTATTTTATATACTATGTGGTCCTGAATAAACATTGATATATCCTTTCAGTAAGACTGACAAAAAGTATCTTAGTTTTACCTTTTTTATAACATTGCTTTCTTAATTCTGCTTTCATACACAATATATCATCATTTCAATATTATAAATCTATCACATGGATTATACTTAGGGGATAGATAATTAATGACAGCTGGAAGCTATATTCATTTATGTTGATTTGATCGTTTATTCATTCTTTCACAAACTTTTTTTCTTTAACAATTGGCGTATGCCATGAATCCCTCTCTGCAAGACACTGGCAAGTCTAATATAACCTGATATAGAAAAATGATGAGGTCTCCAAATTATATTAAGGTTAGCCTTACTCTTTGAAGGATTCTGCTAAAAAAAAAATTACTAAACATGTTAAAGGTGTGTATATATTTTGCTCTTATTTATAAAAAATTTTTCTATACTGACCTGGGTATCATCTATCTTCTTTCTGACATTTCCCCTATCTTGGGTTTTTTTTATCCCCTAGAATTACTTTATTTTTGAGCTCACATTTTATTTCTGTCATGAAGATAGTAAAATCAGAAAAGTACTTCTGACCATATTTTAATTAATTAATAATTTTAAAAAATTAATAAATAGTTAATCCACCAGATACCATAAAAGGACTGAAGAAACCAACTATAAATTTTTTCACTTGGGATGGATGTCTCCCATTCCTCTCTAGAACCACTTCCTTGAGTCTCTGCTCTGTGCAGAATTGGATTTTTTTCATGCCATGAGTAAATTAGCATGAGGTTGATTTCATGACTGCATGAAAAGATTTACAGACGCAGGAGACTTTGGTTATACAAGAATCCCCTGAAATGAAAATCCTCAGCCCCTGCCTGAAAGCTGTTCCTACTCTTTTTCTATTTCCACAGGCAAGAACCCCAAAATCCAAAGTTCCAACATTCCTGGAGAGTGTATCAGACATTTCTTTCCATAACGGAAGCGCTTTGTCTTTGACCGGCCAACAAGTGACAAAAAACTCTTAGCCCATGTGGAGAAACTGCCAGAAGATCAGCTAGATTGTAATTTCCGGTCACAATCAGAAAATTTCTGTTCATATATCTTCACCCATGCAAAGACCAAAACTTTGAGAGAGGGAATCATTGTCACTGGAAACCGTGAGTCTCTTTTCTATACTGGCATGTACTGAGCCCTGTTATATCTCAAAACACTAATACCTTAATCATATAAGCACAAACAACTGTTAAGGAGATAACATCTGTGTCCTTAGGTAAATTCTTATGGAATGAGTGATTGATATTTTTTTTAGTCAGGCTATTCAAGATATATGGTGATTCACATAAAACAGAAAATAAATAGGTCATGAGTCGCTGCAAGCACATTGAGATTTTTGAGACACAAAATTCAATATAATCTTAATAAACAGAGCTTGCGACCCGTTAGCCTGTGACCCATGCAGTAGCGCAGTGCTCTGTGTGAAGAGCCACTCACTGAGTTTAATGCCCTGTCACTGTCTTGCAATTTTTTACCATTTTTTAAATAAGGAGACCTACATTTATATTCAA